TTTTTTTTTTTTTTTTTTTTTTTTTTTTTTTTTTCAATGTCAAAGATAACAACGATATATAAATTACGATGACACTTCAAAAAAAAAAAAAAAAATTTTGCAGCAGATTAATTGTTTAGTAAACTAAATATGCTTCTATTTTTTTTTTCTTCTCTTTTTCTTCTTCTTTTACTTCTTAACATTCTTTCTCTTCCTCTTCTTCTTCTTCTTCTTCTTCCTCCTCTCCTTCTTCTTCTTCTTCTTCTTCTTCTTCTTCGTCACCTTTGTGATAATAATCGATACCGTTGTTGTCGTCGTTTACATCATTTTCAACTTCTTCGTCATCTTGATTCTATTGTGTTCATCTGGATACTATTTTTCAACATCTTTTCTTTTTTTTTCATTCTCGTTCTCGTTCTTACTCTCATTTTGCGGTTTTGATTATTTTTGTTGCTACCTGCTGTTACTGATTGCTTTTTTATCTTATTCTTTGATCTATCTGTCTATCTATCTGTAATTGACAGGTTCATATGTACTTGATGCTACCGAATTTCTAAAACAGGGGCGGGTTGTTGTTTGCTGTTTTGTTGTTGTTGTTGTTGTTGTTGTTGTTGTTGTTGTTGTTACTATAAAAACGGTTTTCTCTATAAACTGGTTCTGTAAATGCTAAAACGTAAAGGAGAGTTTTTGTCATAAACCGTATCTGCTAGTAACCATCTTAGTTATATAAACTCACTATCGTCTCATATTTTTACTAAGTAAAAATTCAACTGTTCCATTCAGGACGTTACCCGTGTAAATGCAGATAGTTAAATAATTTTTGTTATCCTATATTTTGCTTTGAATTTACTAACGATTATTATATCTAATAAAAAAAGAAAAAGAGCGATTATTTTGCAGTCATTTTTTTTTTCTTTTTCAAATGTTGAAGCCTAATTTGTATCTATAAACTATTGAATATATATTTTTGAATGCTATTTTATGCTTTATAATAATAATAATTATTATTATTTTTTTTTTGCTATTACATTTTTAAGTAAGCAATTTTTACCGTATAAAAATAAAAAGAAAGAAAAAAAAAACGTTTAATTATTGTAAGTTGGAATAAAATTTTTACAAGTACAGTTCAAAACAATAAAACTTTAATTGTTGTAGTTAAAATTTTAATACTGTTTTATTGTTGTATTGAAAACAGTGTAAAACTGTTACATTATACGGACCGATAAACTGTGAATGTTTGTGCAAATAAGAACACGTTTTTCTTGTCTACTATCCAATCAAAAATGTAAATTAGTGTTGCAAACGAAGCAAATAAAACAGCGAAAAGTTTTGCTTTCATTGACAGTCTACATTTAGGATGCTGCTTTGGAATATTCTACTGGTGTTTACGGTTGCCGCTACCGCTTTTAAGATCGAAAATGTGGATCAGATGGAAAAAATGGTGCCAAAAATTGCTGAAAAAGTTCATCCGAATACAACGTTTGTAATCTTTGGTACTCGACATGGTCATAAACATCCAGATCAGTATCTCAAAGAGCATCCAAATCCAACAGACAACTTTGAGGATGACGAAAAAGAACTTTCACCGGTCAGTTATTGTGACTAATGTTAAGTTTGAGAAGAGAGTAACCTGAAAAACAAATAAAAAAAAAAGATCAAGAAAAAAATTTTTGTTATTTATAATTTTATTTATAACTGTTTTTTGTCTGTCAAATTTAAAAATCAAATAACTGTTTCTGGAACTGGTAAATTAGTTAAAGTTTTGAATGTGGTAAAAAATTTTGATTTTTTCTTGAACATTTATCTCCTATAACGATCTGTAAACAAAGCGTGATAAAAATTTTAGTTTGGCAAGTTAGAAGCCTATGATATGGGACGAGAAATTCGTGAATTTATTGGAAATTTGGTTGGCGAACAGTACAACAAATCTGAAGCCAAATTTTTCAGCTCCAGTGCCGTCGCTTGCCAACTGACCTTGCAGGTTTGAGTATCATTAGTCTACTCAGAATCTTTTGCTTCTTGTCAGTTGGTCATTTGATGAGAAAGTTTTCAGATCAGTTAATTTATTTTTTTAATTTATCATAATTGTTAAGCTATCATTTGCTTGCACTAAACTGCATTAATTTCAAAACAGAAAAAAAAAAACAAAAAATATTGAGATTTTGCTCATTATATAACTTTTTCACTTCTGTAATAAGTACAGTTTAGTGCTAAAAAGCAGACAGAGAAAAAGAAGAAGAATGAATAAATACAGTGTCAAAAGTTACCAAAGACTTTTACGTCTTTTCTCTACAGTACAAAAAAGAAAATTTAAAGAAGAATAAAAACATTGTATAAATTTGTTTATTTTTTATTTATTTTTGGTTATGTTATTCTAGTCGATAGGTATGCTACTATACCAGAAATAAAACAGTATCAACAGAGGTTTATTGTTGTTCAAATTTAGATAGTTTTGGCTGGTTTATATCCACCGAAAAATGAACAACATAGTTGGATTAAAAATCCCGAATGGGTACCTATCCCATACACTATTACCGATCCAATGCTTCGAATGTTTGCGATGAAAAACTGCCCAAGAGCTGCTGAAGGTTGAAAGAACTTGAAGTTTTTTTTTGTTTATACTGTCAATATAGTAACTTTAGTTGGAAAAACAAAAAAACAAAAATGCTTCTTTTTTCTTGAGTCAGTAGCATTCCTATTTGTAATTTTTTTTTTTTGGGAAAAAGAGGGGGAAGAGGAAGTTAAAGAGGAGGAAAGCAGAAAAGAAGGAGTTGCAGAATGGAAACGAAATATTTGAAGTATTAAAATTGAAGAGCACTTTTGAACTGATTTTTTATAATTTTTTTGCAAGAAAAAAAATTTTTTTCGATTCTCAACTGTTTAATTGTAAAAACCCATCAGTTATTTATTTTTATATGCTTTTTCCCCCATTTGTTTTTGAGACAAAAGCGACAATGATAGATGTGATGAACAAAAAAAGGAAAAAAAAAGGAAAGAAAAAACAATGCAAAAATTTTGGTAGTTTCAATGTTAGTTTACGCTGGCCTGTTGACAGTTTATCGAAAATGTCAACTCAATCTATGAATGATTGGTGAATTGTAATGCATCATGGCGTCTCTTTTTTTTCTGCCCTAAATGTAATGCATAAAGACGTCTTCCCCCCTCCCCCCTCCCCCCTTCATTGCTTTCTGCTTTTTAACCTTTTTGGTGTAAAAAAACGGGTTTTATTTCGAAAAAAGAGAAAAAAGTGACAAAGGTTTCTGAATTAAATTGTATCTAATTGTGCTTTTGTTTACCAAAATAAGAAACAAAAAAAAAAAGGTTTGAAAACTTTACATGTTTAACAATTTCACTTTTTTTACTTGAAATTAATAAGTGAATAAACAGCAAAATAATAGTTTGATTTTAGTATGGGCACCGATTCATAATGAAACAGTCGAAGCTATGGCTCAATATACAGCAGGAAAGAAAGAGGTCTTAGAATACATTGCAAATAACACTGGATGGAATCCATCAATTGCTGGTGGTGCAGATTTGGCCAAAAATTTAATCTCAATGGTGAACTTTCATGCAGCTATTTTGCATCAGTAACTGACCGACTAACTAACTGACCAATTAGTTAACTAACCGTTGCAACTGTTGATCAATTTCAACTAAATGAAAGCAACACCATCCGAATAAAAAAAAAAAAACGTAAATAAATTTTCAGAAACTTCACAAAACACCGTTCCCAGATTGGATTTCACATCCCAGACTGGCCAATTATGATAGCAATCGTCTGATGAGGGAAATCCTAGAATTAGATGAATTGTCATTGGAACAGTGTGCTTTACACGAACCGTGCCAAGACCTGATGGGTGGCGTCTGGTTGCAACATATCCTTCTACTTTTGAAAAATGCTTCACGACACGAACTCAACTACAAGATTGTTGGTTACTCTACGGTCAGTTAACTGCCTACTTTCTTGCTATAATCTTTACTGGTTTTACTTGTCTGTACTTTACCAAAACAGGCTTTTGTACTGTCAAAGATAGCGAATTGAAATTATGCGTCATTTACAATTTTCTAACAGAGCAAAAAGATAAGCAATTTAATGTGTAGGTTGGTGGTAAATAAAAAATAAACTCTTTACAGCAAAACTGACAAAAAAAATTCTTTTAGCATACTGAAATCATGCTATCTTTAATGAGGCTCTTACAATTGGACATCGAAGGTTTGACAACGTCTGCTGGATTTTTGATGGAATACAGAGATTATCCATATCCGTCAGTTCGTTTCTTAATTCACGATCCAAATCCTGTCGAAAGCGATAGCCGTATAATTCGCCATGTAATAAGTCATTATTTACTTAATTAATATTTAAATTTATAATAGCAATAAAAAAAGACATTTAAATTTGAGTGGGCTGACTGAAATTTAGTTCATTTTCAGACTAATTCACTATTTTTGTTTAAATTATTTTTTTAATAACCTTATTAAAAAGGCATTAACAGCAAATTGAGGTTAATGAAAAAGCACTTGCACCATTGTGCCAAGAATGTTTGCTTTGCTACAGAACTGTGAAATGCCTTTTTTTTTTTTTGATTGACTATATTTTAAGTTCGAGATCTGTAAATATGAACATATTTAAGCTTTAATGATTCAATCTTGATGTGAGTAATAAAAAAGCAAGGAGAAACCGATTTAGAATTAGTTTTATAACGTGAATAAGTTTTAGCAAAGAAACTTCCCATTTTTTTACAGAATAACTTATGATTAGCAAAACAACAAAAATTAATTCTTTGAAAACTATATTACGCATACTCATTGATTAACATTAGGTACAAACTTTTAGGGGTCAAGTAAAGCAAACTGTAGATGACTAGGTGCACAGATAAGTAAATGAAATGATAATAAAAAAAAGAGAAGTTGAAAAATGAAAGAAATAAGTTAAACTTTGCTTATTTTATCGGCCTTGAAATAGAAGTTTTTCTACGTCGACATTTTGTTCTGGGAATCAAATGACTGAGCTGTTTTGACAGGCCACCTACACCAATAAACTGAAGAGCTATGCGGACAGCGAACAATGGATACAACTCGAAAGATTTAGTGATGTGGTCAAAGACAAAGGAATCTGGGATTGGGAAGCTGCTTGCGGAAAATTGACATGCACCCTTGATCAAGCATTTGTAATGGTAAAAACTGCGTCTGAAACAGATCTCCGTGAAGAGTACTACGACAAACAAACTGGTCAACTGAAAAAGCAACGTAAGAATTTGGTAGTTTTAGCCGCTGGTTTGGAATCGATGAGAGGATTTTTGCATCTTTAATCGGTCGAAAGATGGCTGTGAAAAATTTTGTAAAAAATTGGCTGTTTATTGATATATGTTATTTTTAGCGGTTTGCTCAGAAGAAGTAGATGCACTTGGTGAAGATTCCTGCGACAAATTTGCAGCCGCCGGTTTATGTAAGACCCACGAAGCGACCAAACTGGTGTTCTGCCGAAAGGAATGCTTATGCGATCAGCCTCAGTAAATATCCAAGCCTTCTCACCTACAGTAGCTGTTATGATTACACTGTCAAAAGAAAAAAAAAGAACAAATTTTTTTTTCGCATTTATTTTTGCAATATATTTGAATGAAAAGAATATGTGGAAAAAGCGGTAAAAACAAGAACAGCAAAATACAAAAAAAAAAAAAAAAAAAAGAAAAAAAAAAAAA